TTCCAATATAGTAAATCTTTAAATCAGTCTTTTATTTCAAAAAACTTAGTGTTCTAGAATATAAAGCGTGCGAAGATGACGGTATGAATCATATTTTGAAATATGTAGAAAAGTTCAAGAAATATCTGTAGTACTGCGCAAGAAAATCCAGTTTCGGACATAAAACCAAGGCGTTAAAAATCAGCATAAATTTAAAAAACCTGCCCACTTTTTGGCAAAAGCGAGGGACGCTAACCAACTATTTTTTATGTGGTCTTACAGTGAGGGTGCAACTCGTTTAAGCGTAAAATATCAAGCTAAGCTTAAAAGAAATATTTTGGGATATTGGCGTGCTCTGGTTTACCATGAGTATAGCGGAGTTGAAAGTAGAGGGAAATGTAAAGAAGCAAATTGCGGAACAAGGAGCATTAGAGGTGGAGTGGAGTGGCTACTTTTAAAAAATAAAGATGAGATGAACAATTTTGAAAGTTTATGTATAAAAATTTGGCAAATTTAGAGAAAAAATTCAGGAAAGATGAATGAAAACCGGTACGTGTAGTAAAAATATCAAGTAGGGAATATGTTAGGCCTGTAGCTGAGGGGGGCCTAGGGGGGCAGTGCCCCCATCCGGAAACAAAATTGAAATCATGCCCCCTCCCCAAACCCACAAAATTTGTTCTTTCTAATTTTAATCATTTTTTGGCGAAGTGGTTAAGTTCATTTATAGCTAGAAAGTTGATTTTCTATGTTTATTTTAAATAGGAAATAAAGGAAAAATCTAATATTCTTCACGGTCTAGAAGAACGTATTTTTACCACTTTTTTCAGGGCTGCGACCGGAAACTAGCACAAAAACTGCTAAATGTTTCAGCAGTGCCTCCCCCCCAGAAATTGGTACGGGCTTGGACAAGCTACGGGCTTGGACAGGAGCTAACAGGTGAGACGGATAATCCTTGTGACAACGTCCTATACAGTACGTATCATGTGCAATATTCAGTTTTTCGGATAATATCTACCAAGAGTCACTTAAAATAAATGAAAAGGAAAAATTCATCAAAAATGCTTTAACAGGTTAACAGCAATGTCTGAATACACGAACATACAGCATGGAGCTTTTCAAAAATGAATTAAATTTCGGTCGATAATTTTTAGGGAGGGAGCTTTCATTTGTATGATCAGCTGTTAACCACGCGATAAAAACGAACCATATGTGACTGTGGTCATTTGAAGTGGCGTTAGCATCAACTGAAAACACAATCGATTTTAAAGATATATACTTCGCTTTAGTATTACCAGTCTTGTCAAGATGATTGAGCGATTATGTTTACAGTTAATAATCTACTTACAAATCCAAGAAGTGCGGAGCTTTTCATGGCAGCACCAACACACCCAAAAGCTGCTATAAAGAATATCAATGCTCCTGCAGCAATGCATAAGTTCGCAGAGTTTGCCCAGCTATATTGTTCACAGATATCTGCATAGTCATCTTCATCCACCCGAAGGTAAATACCATAACCACACAGAGCAGCACCACTCAACTAGAATTAAATGATAATATAGAGTGTTCATTTCATATGTTTTTTTCGTAACCACATTTTAGCTATCATCAATTTTTAATCGGTGTCACTCAAATATTTTATTTTTTCCCTTCATCCATATTCCATGCATGTTTTTCCGACTGCATGGGTTCAATATTTTGCCGACTACCTGATGACTGGGGGAAGGGGGTGGAACACCTACACACACACCCTTTAGCGCCGGCCCTGGATACAAATAGGGCAAAGGTGTGGTTTAATAAGAAATGTATGATGAATTATGATGATGCCTGAAGCATCATAAATTATTAATGAATGTACTTACAAAGAAAAGGATATTGAAAAAGAACACGCAAAATCGAAGACACGCGTACCCCATTGTTCTTGATGTAAACTATCCTAAAAATATAAAACTTATTTAATATTCTGACCTAAAAAAGATCCTATTTGTATGTTACTGTTAAATTTGCTTGTGTCCACCATAGTTGCGTTTGTATGGAATCTGCTGGTGCAGCTGAATTTGGCAGCACGTACCATATACTGTAACCATGTTGCAATGATATTGAATATTGGGTCTTGGTGCAACGCAACTGTGAACAATGCAAACTGCATGTAGATAATGCAACTACTTGAAAAGTATAAAAAGAATATCGATTATTCGAATGAAGGTCCTTTGTCTGGACGTTGGCCGTCAAGTTAGTAACTTCCAGACGAAGACCCTTCGCTCGCAAAACGTAGAAGTTGCCTAATTTTAACAAAGTCTTGAATGTAAGCCTTTCTTATTTTTTTAACATTTGCTAGCGCTGATTAATTATATGACTTGGCAAAAATATCCTAGGATTTCTAGTAACTTTTTTTGCTATTACATTCGGCATTACTGAATTAATACATTAATATATAGTGTGTTTTATTTAGTAAAAAAGTAATTCTCTAAATTTTACGTTTTTCGAAAAACGACATTTTAATACAAATAAATGCTTGATACATTGTTTTTTGGAACATATATACAGTTTTGTCTGCCTTGACTAACTAAAGGTTCACATTTTTATTATAGATTACTCGTTGACAGGGGCGTAGGAACCGGCGGGGGGGGGCAGGGGGGCCAAGCCCCCCCCCAAGTTTTGGCAAGTGCCCTTTTCCCGGAAGCAAAGTGCCCTTTTTGTGCGTGAAAATTTTTCATTAAAATTGTATTTTTCTGGCCAAGGTGCACTTTTGAAAACTTCAATGTACGTTATTTCCTGAAAAATGTTAAAAATTGCGGAAAAAAAATCATATATCCGGAAAATTTTGTTTGTATTCCGGAAAAAGTTTTTCAGTATTTACGAAAAAAATTTTGTTTATCCTGAAAATATTTTTTGGATATGTCCGGAAAAATTTTTTTGGACCCCTAAAATGGTACAATGACCGAAATTTTTTTGGCGACGCGAGGGGGGGGGGCAGGTCGCCAACCAAAATTTTGGAGATGCCGTTTTTTTCGCAAAGTGCCCCTCAAAGCCTGGCCTCCCCCAACTTTTCGAAGGTTCCTACGCCCCTGCTCGTTGAAGTTACAAAATTCTAAAATTAAAGTCACAAAGCTGGCTGTTTCGGCATATATTTCCTAGATCTCTGCAATCCTGTATCCCAACATGCAATAAGCTAACCCTAACCCTAACCCTATGATAATAGCGGAACTGTAAAATTAATCCGCATGTTTAAAAATTAGACATTTATTGCCTCTCAATCTTGACCAACCATTTGCAAATTAAATGTTTGTTTAACATACTGCAGTTTCAAACACTGGTTTTAAAAGCTTATGCAAATAATGCTGACATCAGCAATAGTTTTTAAAAAATCCGTAACGGCATGAAAATTTGTCTTGATCAGCACTCGATGGAAGTCAATCGAACCGCTAGAGATGGCAACAACCGCTCTTGATTGAAACTACATTGAGTGATTTCAAGCAAGAACTGCTGACGTAATCTATAACGGCTCGACTGACTTCCGGTTGGAGTCCGTGTTGTCACAAACGTATCCTCCTATCCTCCTGAGGGGGATAGGAGGAAAGAGAGACTTGTAACATCTGGCAGCAGACATACTTCCGGCTGGTCAATTTCGACCAGCCGGAAGTAGATGGCCGCATTGACTTATCACGTGTTTAGGGGGGGGGGGAGGCGACATCTGGACTTTCAGAGTTATTTGTTTAACATAAGTAATTTTGTATTCACGAGATTTCTTGTAGATTTCACATCACTTTTGACTGCGTGCATTTGGAATTTTGGGCATTAGTTTTGCAATTTATTGTAAACAACGATTATAAGAAGAACGGATAAATTACAAATCAGCCGTAATCGTCATAAACCTCGATGACCACCAGTGTTTTTGTGTTTGACAATTTGTATTTCATTAGATATTTATATGCAAGGTCAGTATAAACGGGTTATCATATAAAATGATCATTCTAATGAATGAATTGATAAAACGAATTATTTCTAATATATACGGCCGCGTTTTTTACACGGCCACTACTGAAACGTTTAGCTTGATTGTTGAATAAATCGATGACTTGCTTAGTTGCTTTCTGTTTTGAGCTTAACCACCGTTTAATAAGCTAAACGGGCTTGATACAACTGGCCCCAGACTCGGCCCCAGATAAACATTTTTGTATTATCGAAATTTATACAAATGTTTATTTTGTTAAAAATTTGTATAATTTTAATTTGGGCGTGACAATTTTCGCATGTTCATAAGTTCATTGTACGTTTTTTATTATTGACACGGTTTCCAATTTACTATAGTTTCGATCTCGATAATACAAAAATGTTAATGTAGTGGCCGTGTAAAAAACGCGGCCGTATATATTAGAAATAATTCGTTTTATCAATTCATTCATTAGAATGATCATTTTATATGATAACCCGTTTATACTGACCTTGCATATAAATATCTAATGAAATACAAATTGTCAAACACAAAAACACTGGTGGTCATCGAGGTTTATGACGATTACGGTTGATTTGTAATTTATCCGTTCTTCTTATAATCGTTGTTTACAATAAATTGCAAAAATAATGCCCAAAATTCCAAATGCTAGCAGTCAAAAGTGATGTGAAATCTACAAAAGAAATCTCGTGAATACAAAATTACTTATGTTAAACAAATAACTCTGAAAGTCCAGATGTCCCCCCCCCCCCCCCCCTAAACACGTGATAAGTCAATGCGGCCATCTACTTCCGGCTGGTCGAAATTGACTAGCCGGAAGTATGTCTGCTGCCAGATGTTACAAGTCTCTCTTTCCTCCTCTCCCCCTCAGCGGTACGTCATGTAACGTACAATATAGATGTACAATATATAGATGTACAATATAGTGGGACTCCACAAAGAGAGACTTGGAGCAAGTCTAGCTTACGGCCTCTCTTAACTTGTACGAATCTTTCTGCTATCGTCGCTGTTAATTATGAAATATAGTTTATAGAACTTTTAACGCTTCTCCTCTTAGCAACGGTCTTTTCCAGAAGAATATAACTGAATTAAGACATGAATTTAGTGCCCCAACCGTAATGGACCAAGAATGTGCAATTCTCATTTCCACTGTGCCGTCATTGTAATATAGGTATATGACTGGTGCTGGCAGGAAACATAGCAAAGACGTGAAGGCTACAAGTGCACAAGACTTGGCGAGCTTAAGTTCGCGTATTAGTTGTGTTCTTCCTGCCTGGAACGTTGTCTGCTGTGTTGAGCTGTCTTGAACATTGTTCCCGAGAGGGATTTTTTTCCTGGCAGTAAGAAAAATCTTTACATAAGCGAATGTATTAATTGCCAGTGACATAAACACCAATGCCGTACCCGATATGCGATAAACATTTTCTGAGGCCAACCGCATAAGCGAGAATGGCAACACCGCCATGATGATGCATAAAACAGATACCAAAATGGTTCTCTTTGTTAATTGAGTCCGATGAACAACTGGGTGTACAATGCTCATGTATCTCTCCAAAGTTAACACACAAACTACTGCAAGTGATAATCCAAACATCGTATAGGTTACTGTTTCTGAGAGGAAATTCGCGACACAATTATTTGGAATTTCCATTATTTCACTGGCTCGAATATAAGTAAACATTGGGAGTGATATCAATCCCACTGCAAAATCAACCGTTGATTGAACAAGGATAAGAAACCCCCAAATTTTATCCTGTAGTTTGGAACACTTTAAGATGGTAAGAATTGACATGCCATTCAGTAATACGGTTGGTATTATTAACACACAATTTACCGCGCAAAGAACGATTTGGTTGATGATATATTTCTCCGATGGAAAACGTAAAACAATAAAACTAATGGACCTTCCAGCAAAATCGCAAATCTTCACAAAATGGTGAGTAGTGTTGTTCATTGTCAAGAAATTCACAGAATTTAACTTGATACGTCCCAAGTAACTGGAGTTCTTTCCATGAAAAAATCTATATCTGTTAATTGGGAGTATGTTTTGGCAGTATGATAAACTAACACGCTGCGCTATTTTCATCAATGTTTGAAACTTAATAAATCCTAAATTACAGTTTGACAACTGTTTGTTTGAAACGTAATAAATCCTAAATTACAGTTTGACAACTGTTTGTTTAACTGGACATTTAATATAATTATTTATTACAAATTAAATATCCGGCGTTTATATTTTTATCTCAAATAGATGAGTTTCAGGACCACAGTTGTTGTGGTTAATTTCCAAACGGAGCACGTGTTCTCTGCTCTTATACGGCTTTAATAAAGTTGTCACTTTAATGAACGAAAATGCTATGACTGAAAATTCGGGGAAGTGTTAAGTTTGATCATAGCCTATCGAAGAGGAGATGGCTGTGAAACCATTAGAATAACAATATAACTCATCATCTATGTTAGTCAACGTTTATTCATAAATCTGATCGTTCACCGTCACGTGCATGTGTATTGTATTTTTGCCCAACTAACCAAAAGCAATGTTTTAGGAAAGTTATACCTATCCGTGACTCGAACAATAGGGTGAGTTGGAAATTGCTATTGGAGGATTTGGCAAAAATGCAATACGCACATGACGCTGAAGGACCATATTAATGAATAAAGTTGACAACATAGATAATAAGTTATTGTTATTCTAATGAGTTTAACAGCCATCTTCCCTTCGATAGGCTATGGTTTGATATGAATCGCGTAAAAGCGCGGCAGAAGTTACACATGCTGAAAAATTCTTGAAGGCTTGTTTAGTATAGAATAAAACATATTCCAAAATGTGCGTCTTGCAAATCCATGGATCAAAATCAAGACAAATCAGAATCTTCCCAAATTACTTTGCTGACGCACTGTACTCATCAGATGGTCGTTTTTTAAACCATTTAAAAAAAGAAGCAGGAGTGCTTTATCAGATATAAAACAACCGACCTGAGCTCTCCGCTCTCGTGTTTTATATCTGTTAAAACACTCCTGCTCGTGTTTTAAATAGTACATATATGCATCGTGGTTTGGCATTTTCATTATACAAACTGATCAGAACCATAACGTCGCCGCTTACTTCGTCAAATAAAATACAAGAATAATCCGAATAAAATATACATCTTGAAACTCAAAATTTGAGAAGACAAAAGGAGATTTGGTTTGAATGAATAAATGAATTTGCAATTAATTCGAAACATTACCACAGAATAAAGATTGATACAGAAGGGCCATGCACTTAATTACGTCGGAAGCTTTGAAGTTTCTGTCCTCGCGCATGTGAAATTACGCATGTTGGCCGCCATTTTCCTAGACAGTCAATAAACACGCTATACTAGCTGGCTGGCTGCTCCGCCTTCTGGCCAGTAAACTGCATTTTTTGTATAAAGGAACGAGGGCACGTTGCACCGCTGAGTGTCCCTTCTGTTACTGATCTTTATTCTGTGAGAGTACGTTCACACACTATGATTCCTCGGAATGTCGGGCTGATCAGTTCAGGTCTTGCTGAATGTTAATGTCGAATGTTTTCAGTTGGTGAAATCTTCAGATGACGTTTGCCAAGTATATTTCGAATACAGTAGCCTAAGACCCCTTTATATAAGAACCTGTTTAGGCTAAAATTTCAAACAGGTTCTTATTTCATTTTTATCACTCTAAGAGTTGAAACTAAAAATTTATAAATCAAAGAAAATAAACTCATCACAAAGTAATGAAAATGACCCAGAAGTCAGAATCCCGGATATGTCCTAACATAATAAACAACATGCAGGGACGCCGGAACTGGGGGGGCAGGAGGGGGCAGCCGCCCCTTACCAAGAGGGGCAAGGGGGCAAAGGTGCCCTTTCAATTTAAAGGATTGCCTTGGCAAAATAGCGAATTGTCAGAAATGTTAGTGCAATTCTTTTACGAATTTGCTTCAGAAAACGAAAGAAATGCAGTCATCGAGCTTCAAGAATAGCACAATCGCCTGGCCTCACACCCCTATCATCCAATCAATAGAAAACATGATTAGGCGAAGTTCAACTCCCGATGTTTTGCAAACATCTCTTAGTATATATCAATTCAAAAGTGCTCTTTCACGAAAATCTGCCCCCCCCTTGCCTTCACATCGTTCCGGCGTCCCTGAGTCAACATGTGTGTATGAACACATGAACAAAAAATAACTGTACCTACACCAACGGAAATTGAGTCGCTTTTAATTTAGAAAATAAGAACCTATTTAAGAACCTGTTCAGCCACATTTCATTATAAGTACCCTTTATATAAGAAACTGTTTAGGCTAACTTGACTCATTGTATGGGTTGCCGTCGTCGTCGTGTTGCCATCCTACATGCTTTAAGCTCCATAATGTAGTACACGATCGAGTGGGTTTTATGCTGAGGTAATGAGAATTTGTAAATTAATCAATATAAAAAAATGCGATAAAAACCGGCTTTCTTCAGTTTTATTATAAAGAAACATAGAAAAGTTTCTATGTGTTTCTACACAGTTATAGAAACACTTGTGGTAGTTTGGGAGAACTCGAAATAACGTGAAAGAAGTCACCCTTCGGTATAGAAACACGTACGTTTAGGGGTCCGAAATCGATCCGAAATCGAACTCGCATTTCCCTACTTAATTATTAACGGTAGTTAATTTGGTTCATTTATTCAAGATTTTGTGCAAGTATGGAGATTCCACAACGAATCCAAGGAACCGGCCTCGGATTTGGTAGGTCTAATTTTGTGTGCTGAGTGTGAATGACATCTCAATCTCAATGTGTGCTGAGTTTGAACGACACGGAAAATATTTTCTATATAAAATAACTGGCAGCTGGCAAATGATAATAAAAAGCAATTTGAAAATGACATTTGACAAAATCATAATCACTGCCGTCCAAAAGCCATGGCCATGGTCACGAACGAACGTCGGTAGAATATACTTTTTATAAACCAAAAGAATTAAAATTCCGCGGTTTGCAGAATAGGACCTATACGTCATTCACGTAATACATAGGCTTGCAGTCAGCCTAACCATGCAGAACTGAGTATATTAATTCAACAACCGATTTTACTTAAGCCTGCAGTTTCCGTCGTAAAAATATAGAGTCACGATCTTTCTCAACGACCAGTTTATAATAGTTTATACCTGTAAATCACATATAAATCATAACTATTCTCTAGTTATAATCACACGGCGTATTTCAGTTCTAAAATGCCAGTTATATTTCGGCTGATGAGAAAGATCGTGACTCAATTTTTACGACCGCTGCGACCATATGGAAACCAGGCTTTAATGAGAGCAGAGAAGAGACTCAACTCTTACTTTTAATACATTCGATTAAGTATACTCGTGTTATCCAAAAGGACAAAATGTCAGTTAGTGTAGTATATATAGAGGATATTACATAGACTTTCCAAAGTCCGCGGTAAGCGCTCCCTTCTTGCTACGCGCGGTCCCTAGCGAGCGACTTGGGCAAGTCTAGATATTACACAGCGGCGCGAAGATATGACTTTTATCTTCGAGTGCATGGTGAAAACAATATTTTACGAACGAGCGCAGCGAGTGAGTAAAATATTGTTTTTAACACGAGAAGATAAAAGTCATATCTTCAAGCCACCGTGTAATGTTCTGTTTATTATATAGTTCCAAGCACAAAATTGTGAAATTTCACGCTCAACTGAAGCAAATTGGAAAAATCACGTAATCGATATCTTCACTAGTGAAGATATGGAAAATATCTCACTGTGTATTTTTCAGTATCTCACTCTCTACTATATAATAAACGAGCGTCTCTGTATGTTCACAGTGAGGCAACACAGATGCTGGTATAACCCCTTCGTGCCTTGATCTGAAGCACCACTTTAGAGTTTACTTTTAATTGAGGATAAACAAACAAGGTATGAAAAAGGACAAAATACAAATTCATCCGTTTAATTAATCTGTGCAATGCCTAAGATTTCCTAACTTTGGGCAATAATTTCAAACGCTTGTTTTTGTTCACATATTATTTGGATTCAATAATAGTTGAAGAATGAAGATATATGCATGCAGATGGAAATTCGCGAGTGTAAACTTTATACACATTTAATTATTAGACCTGCATGTAGGGTAGATCTATAATAAATGTAAGAAAAGCTAATTTAAAAAAGGTTGTCCTTTGCAAACCTTAAACTCTAAACCTTAAACTCTAAGCGTGCAAAGCACAATGGGAGAGAGGTTAAGGTTTAGAGTCTAACGTTTGCAAAGGACAAGTTTTTTTGAAGTGGCTGTAGGCGTAACAGTATAAAATTTACACTCGATAATAGATAGCTTAAGATCTACGACGTCGACGCCAGCTAGGACGTCAGGGCTAAGCAGAGGACTGGGACTAGGACGTCGTCCTGAATAAGTCGATAGCTCAAGTATCTACGACGTCAAATATTTAGGGCGGCAAGCAGAAGTGAATTGGTAATAGTTTTTGAAGTATGCATGTGTCTCTCTCAATTTGCTCGTCGTTCACCAAACGTCGACAACCTCACAACAAGGGTTTTACCGTCGTAAATACAAGAGCATAACAAACGGTAATGGGTTCACACGGCACTTTTAAATTCATTTTCAAAAGTATGTAAATATTTATAGTTTAAATGTCTAAGTCGTAAAACTTAATATATAAGTGGAAGTTTATTTATTTAGGACGACGTCCTAGTCCCAGTCCTATGTTTTATAGCCCTGACGTCCTAGCTGGCGTCGACGTCATAGATCTTAAGCTATCTAATACCTTTGTATTACCTTCAACTATTATTGAATCGAGTGAGAGGCCAACAAAATCTTCATTGACGACTTGACCCTGCCTTGACACGTAACAAGCTAACATGCCACAATACAGAGTATACAGTAGCTCACTTACTGTTTATAGAAAAATATATAGCCAAATTAAAGAACCGGAATCATCTATTGGCTTTCTAATCATATTCACTCAGTTAACAGTTTCATCACTAATTAATCAATCTGACCTGCTATTGAATTGAAATCATTTATTGGCCACTTTTAACAGGTTATAAGATCAAAAAGTTTAAACCGATAGTACGATGCGATTTTCGTTTTTTGTCTATTTAATGACATATAAATTTTGAATCGTTTGCATAGAACACTGATACCTTCGATTATAAACATGGTCTATCCACCCACATTCTTGAATAGTCTATAGCTACTCGACCTGATTGGATGATGCACCTACATTTTTATGCTGTTCTGTGATGAATATATTATGAGTTTAAAGTATATATTATCACAGCACGCATTAATGTGTGATCTTGAACTCTTAAATTCTTTATTAGATAAATATAAACAACGTAATACTAATGATAAAATAGAACGAACAGTTCATTCTTTAAAATCAGCATATGCTGTATAATAATAAGTATTTTTGTTACAAGTATGTATAGCAGCAACAATCATTCAAATTAAGACGTGAATCATCGACATCAATGACAAAGCGAGAGAGATTGCCTAGGTTATTAACAGAATACGATTAACGGAGTTATGCATGCGAGTATTATAAACGCTTGACAGTTGCCAAATGAATGCATATCATTGTTGGTAATACTTATGGCAGTGACATATAACATTTCATTTTTGAACATAAAAAACGAACTATTTTATAATATCCTTTGAATTAAGACGCTTGTGATTCACAATTCTTTGTCTTAATTGAAACACGCCTTTCATTTTTAACGCGATTAAAGTGGATTCAAACTACCGAAATTTGTTATATTGGACTCTCTGTTTGATCGTCGATTGACCAATTGAGTCTATGAGCATTTCGTAAATCAGCTTGTACTGTACAAAATACTGTTGGATAGAGACAGGTTGGAGTTAAGCTCAAATACGAAAATAATATAGGAACTAATTAGGCATATTATTTGAGCAAAACATTAACACGAAAATCAAGCTAGGCCATTAAATATTGTTTTGTAAAACAGTTTCAAACAAGCAGATAAAACGAATAAAATAACAGACTTACCCAACAGTTGGAGTGATTGGTTTAGCTTGCTGCCTTGACGTTTGATGTTCCTTCGACTTGCTGGCGAAGAATGCAATGCTCAGAAGTCGCTGGAAAATATTTATCCACGGGGGTTGGGATGATTTGAAAGAAAGTTATTTTGGCTGCATAGTTTCGTACTGCATTGATTTTACACTCTGGTGACTTCTATTCGGAACATTCAACCTTCACAGTTTGGGAGATGATTCATCCCTTGATTTGTAGCTAATATTTTATAGGATTAGATTATACGGATTTTAGGATTTAACCCCCAGAAGAGCAGAAATACATGTACAATGTAAGAATAACTTCAAAGTTTCGAGGAGCTAATTCTCTTCGTCCGATATAGTTACAGTAGAATCCCGCTTATTTTGAGACTTTTGAACTCCCCGCTATCTCGAAGTTAAATCCATTTCCCATGGATTTGCCAATCACTGGAAAAAATACTGAAATTCATACTATGGAATTTTCGATTGCACCACTAAATCCGTTCTATTTCCATGCTATATCCATGGTATGGAAATTGCAATTACTATGAAAATTGGATTTCCATACTATTTGCAACTAAAATCCATAGGCATAGTAATAGTAAGGATTTGGAAAAAAAATTCCACTGCATTTCAATAATTTTGGCTCGATTATCATGACGATTCGTATCTCAAACGTTTGATAATCCCCTTATTAACCGAAATTTTCCCAGCTGCCTCATTTGTAAATGTCGACAGAAGGTAGCCTCGCATGGGCTATTATGGCCCGTCCGCTATTTTCCCGTTTAGGAACTGCATGTTTGTTGTATTTGTACGTTATTAATGTAATATATTTAGTTCCTAATAAAGCTGTTAAAAAAACCCAAAAAACAAACAAATTGTTTCGTGACTTTAATAAACTAATTAATTCTTTATTAGGGAACGTATGCACGCATTTGATTTTGCAGCGTAAGCAAGGGGTGACGTCAGGGGGCGGAAGGGGGCAACCCTGTCGGGGACCCTAGCCCTTCTGTCCTCCGGGGGGGGGGAATTCGCATTTTGTTGGGGGAAGAAGCTGTGGTTTGTAACCACAGTTTTCTTTAGTGCTGTTTATGAACAGACTCTACGTTAAAAACAATCATCAAAAAGGAAAAGAAAAGTATAACCAAAATGCAGGAAATTTACTTAAATAAAAATTCAAATATTTTCTCGGGGAAGTCTCCCTGTCGGGGACCTTAGCCCCCTTATCGTAAAATTATATTCCTGACGCCACCACTGGCCAGGGTAAACCTGCACATAAAGCACGTAGAACGGACTGTGCATAATAAAAGATACACTCTTTCAATTATATACCTATTCTTGGGTTTCACTACGGTATTATGCAGTGAATCTGACGGGGGGTCAAATGTATTGATGCTTATGCTGTACTGGAGTGAGAAAATGATACGAAATTCCATGTATTTGTCACCAAACACAAGGCTAATATATAAAACGAGCAATCGACTCACTCTGATAACTGTGTTGACCCCCCGTTACTTTTGTGACGTCATCTGAAACCCAAGAATATATGCTATAGCACAATAGTGATAACACAACTCTCTCTCTCTCTTCAAAAACTCACGAGTACTTGTTTCATCCAAATTTCACGAGAAACCATCTTATTACGTATTAATAACATGGATAAAAATGGTCGAGCCAATTGTAGTTTTGACTTACTTTTATGGCGAACCAACGCTAACGATTTGAAAATTTCACCCAGATATGTACGTTTTGCTAGCCTTGTTTATAAGGTAAAGTCGTTTCCATTTAATGAAAAAAAGATATGCATAAAAGTTGACCATTAAGAGTTTTCTGTTATTGAAATTTAATTTAATTTTGGAAAAGGAAACCAAAAGTAAAAGCTGAATTGAGTTTATTCATATATATTCATATAGACACAATCTCTTCATGTAAGAGCTAAGAGCTTATAGCAAGTGAGATAATGATATGTTCAATATAATCCGATTCATTTTTGGGATAACAGAGTCTTTCACCAATTAAGAGAAGAAAGAGATAAAGAGGTCTTTCACCTCTTATAAATAATAGCAAACATGAAGGACAATCGTGAAAAATCAATCGTCTAATTACTCTGACTATACTAAGTAATTTAGAAATGCTAACAATGAAATGTCTCTATGATAACTGTAGCTACAATTCCAAAAATCAGTAAAAATATACTGGCTCGTTTGAAGCTCAGACTGAGTTCATACTATACACTGGAAAAAAATATTGTGAAATCCTTACTACGAATTGGATTTCCATACTATATTTTCAACGAAGAACCGTAATATTAACATATTATATATATATATATATATATATATATATATATATATATATATATATATATATATATATATATATATATATATATAGTTTTTCGTTTTACCTCAAAGAACCACAACAGTCTGTTTCATCCGTATAGGAATCATCATGATTCCTATACGGATGAAACAGACTGTTGTGGTTCTTTGAGGTAAAACGAGAAACTATATTACGCTCTATCTATATGGTATTGAGCACTGTTTGTGTTTCGTAAACCAAAATCTTAAGCTATATATATATATATATATATATATATATATATATATATATATATATATATATATATATATATATATATATATATATATATATATATATATATATATTCACGCTGGTTATATTCAGCCATTGAAATAGCCAATTTTCTCCCAGTGCCGCAGGCTCGAATTTTCCAGCTGACTTGCGGTAAAAAATTGAACGCCGACTTGGTAAACCATTCTCCGCTAATACGAATTATACTAATTTTGCACAGAACTGGCCATTCTGTGTAAGATGTCCGCTGACAATGCGAGCCCGCACGACTGGGAGACGTTTGGTTAAATTACAACAGTAGATCGCTGACCAACACCATTCGTATCCAAGTGCTCAAATTACTTTGTCAATGGGTTTTTTACCCATACAAACGGAAAATAGCTAGCCCTGATACGAGCTTGAAGTTGAAAACTTGCCATATACACGTTCTTCTCTTAAGTCATTAAACCTTCGAAAAGTAGCCGCTCCTGGTGATATTTTCAACTGACCGCGTCCAGATATGAATTTTTGATGTATAATTTTAAACTGTGGCTGCGTAAGCTATGTGGATTAAATCAATTTTCCATGTATCTGTTTAAAAAAAACTGTGGTTGACTGTATAGCAATTTAGTCAATTAATCTAGTTGATGTATTTCCTCAGCTTTTAATTTATGCGCACAAGGGGGATGGAAAGCAAGGTATTATATTCCTGATTATGCTGAAAAATTTCAATACAAGCTGCTGAAACAACCGAACTAACATTTCAATATTTACAAATATAAGCTATCACTCCGTGTTCGCTTTTATTTTTTCAGCATAATCAGCAACATGATACCTTACTTCGCGCCCTCCCTGCGCGCATAAATTAAAATCTGGAATTGCCTATTGGAAGCAAAAACATTCAGTTGATTGCAATTAGTGATTATATTAACTTCGCATGAATGATTCCAGACAAAAATATCATAAAGGGAACACAAGTGAAATTTGTCTCACCCAAGTGAGATTTGTGGAATCAAGATAGCACAACAGCAAGAGACCGTTCTTATTATTGGCAGTACCTACACAGGGGCCGCGAAACGGGGGGGAGGGGGGCAAAGGGGCAAGAGGCTCCATGTTTTCAAACATTTTCAAACATATTTTTCCGCGGCCTCTATATCTACACAAACCGTTCACGATTATATACCCCCCATCAGACATAGTAATATCTGACCATGAAGAAAATACATTTCCCGGCATACACTATAAGCTAGAGCTGCAATCATGTGCAATAAATATTGAGACAACAACGCAAATACCCAAAAATGACATAAAGGCAGTAAATTAACTCAAACGGTCCCTAAACGTCGGGGAGTAAGATGAATATTGAACATGGGTCGTGAAGTGAGTACTAATAGAAGACTAACGAAATGTAAAGTGTTAAATAGAAAAATAAAAATAAAATAAAAATTTTGTTAAATTTTAAGTATATACTAATTACCTCAACTATTCACATTAAATCACACACAAAATTTTAAACCTGGAAAACTCCAGAAAACGCAGTTCCAAAGATTTCCTGCAGCCCTGTGTTTCATATAGAAAAATATAAATATAATGACGCTGATCATGATTTTAAGATGCTGCACTGTCCGTTCCGCGCATGCACAGCAGAGCCTCCTGATAATTTGCTACCTTATTTTAAGAAGCAGGGAAATATATAAAGTTGACGCGACTTCGTTTGACACGCGCAATCTTTAAGTATTTTTCTCTAAGTCTAGAATATTGTACTGGTCTATACTGAAATGATAAAATCTGTTCAAGCCCGGTCAAACAAAGGGCTTTATATATACGTATATAATTAAGTACTCAACATTTATAATGCTGCCATGGTTACATTATCGTAAAAATGATGTCGTCCGTATTATTCAGACGAACTCACAAGTACCTGACGAAGATCGTATTGTATATGTATATGTATATAATACGTGGGAAGGGAAACAAAGAGGTCTTTTTGCCGATGACGTATTTACGTTGCAGCCCGTTGTGAGAACAAATATTTAGGAGTATGAATTTTATATTAATAGCACATATTTCAAAGTATTGCGCATTACTTATACAATCTCTTTCTTGATTGGCTGCTAGCCT